CACGAAACCAAAGACAACTCTCCTCCAATCCCAGGAGTCGAGCCCGTCGACCTACTCCCAGACGATCGTGTCCCTACACCCCTAACATCCTCCAACATCCTCACCACATCTCCCATTCGCGGCCTCTGTGCCGCCACTCGTCCCACACACCCCAACCCTATCTGCAAAACCCCCACCATCTCCTCCTCCATGTTTTTATACCCCAACAGCTCCACATCAAAAACCTCACCAGTCCACTCTTCCCTCACCACCGACTGCACCCACCTCACCAGATTCAAACCCTCCTCATTCCCTCTCTTCCCAGTGAGGAGCTCGAGTAGAACAACTCCGAAGCTGTACACATCAGCTGCTTGGGATGGCTTGCGCGTGTCGTTCACTTCTGGGGCGCGATACCCCGTGTTGCGGGAGATTGGGTTTGTGAGGGTTGCTAGGCCGAGGTCGGAAATGGAGGCTCGGTTATGGGAGTCGAGGAGGATGTTTGAGGACTTTATGTTTCCGTGGACAAGTTTGCCGTTGCTTTGGTAGTGGATGTGGGCTAGGCCTCGGGCAGATGCTATTGCGATGGTGAGTCGGGTTTCCCAGTCGAAGGGGACACGTTTCTCGTCTCTTTTGGCTGTTGAGAAAAGAAAAAAAAAAATGATCAACGGCGTTGATTGCTTTTCATGTACAATTGAGAAAATCGGAAGAATGACACCTTATATTTTTTTATTTAGTCCCTGATTTACCTGAAATCTCAAAATTTGCACGAGCAACCACACGAGTTGCATGTGAATGCAAAAAGGATGGGATAATCGATTTTTTGGCTGAAAATTATTAGGCTTTATCAAGTATGTTGCTGGTAAGGTGTAAGGGAAAATTTTAATACACAATCCTTGTTCTATTATATTGGAACTATAACACATGTATAACTGTAATTGTCATCACAAACATAATGTGATCATTCAATATAATGTCATACCATTTGCCAAAAAAAAATATATATATAATGTCATACCAAGTGGAATAAGCTTGTGGAACAATTATCCATTCCTTGTTTGTGAGAACCCCAATTTTTTGCTGAAAAATGCTTAGAAATCTTAAGAAGCCCTCAACTTGTTGGAGTGAGCAGTTGTACAGTTTTTAGACATCTAGAGCAATATAGCTACAAACGAGTTTCCAAGAACTAATTTCGCCTCCAATCCAATAGTCATAGAACTAAAACCACATGGAAATTTGAAAAAGAGGCATATCGAAGCATAAAACAAAGACTGAATGCTATAAACATACCATGTAAAAGTGCATATACACTCCCCCGTTCGTAATAGTCATACACCATAAGCTTCTCGTCTTTTGAGTAATAATAAGCCCTCAACGGGACCACATTCTCATGCCTCACGCTCCCCACCACTTCCATCTGCTGCTCAAACTCTCTTCTTCCCACAACCACTTCCTTTAGCCTCTTCACCGCCACTGTTGTAGCTACATCCTCCAAAGCTGCCTTATATGTCGTGCCAAACGTGCCCTTACCGAGAACCTCAGCCGACGCCCTCAGCAAATCCTCGAGATCGAATTCGAGCCCACGCCCATCGAAAAACACGAGCCTCGTGTTTTTGTCCCGATTTTCCAACTCCGTTCTCCTCGTAGTCTTCTCTTTCTTCTCAGCAGTTGACTTGTTACCACCATCATCTTCTTTTTTCCTCCGATTAGTAACGATCAAGAGAAGTGAGATCGAGACGAACGCTAGCGCGCAACTCCCGATCACGATTCCGAGAATTGCAGCTTCACTGAATCTCGAGCGGCTTATTGGTGCGGTGAGTGTAGGTGGACCCGAAGGAGGAAAAGCATTTTCTGATGAAATATTATTTCCGGAAAACGATGAAGAAGGGAATCTGAAGAGAGATTGGGGCAAAGGCCCTGTGAGTTTATTGTTAGATAAATCTAGGGATTGCAGGCTGGGGATGTTTAAATCGGGAATTTCACCGGAAAACGAGTTATTTGCTAGGCTCAAAACCGTCAGATGGGTGAGATTCGAGAAGGAAAGCGGTATACTCCCGTTAAACCTATTTTCCGACAGATTCAAAACCGAGAGATTTTTCCAGCCGGAAAAATTCAAAGGCAGAGGGCCCTGGAAATTATTGTCCTGAAGGTAGAGGGCCACGAGATTAGGGAGGTTTACGAGATCACGGGGGAAAGGTCCACTGAGGCCGTTGGATCTGAGACTCAAGATCTGAAGTTGGGATAAACGGCCGAGAGTGTTTGGAGGGATGCTCCCTCTGAATCCAACGGCTGGCAATCGAATGGCGATAATATAAGTGTTGTTGTGGTTGCAGGTGATTCCAGTCCAGAGATTGCAAGGAGATGAATTGTCGTTCCAGTTCAGCTGTCGTGTGTGGGAAATGTTATGGATGAAATCGAGCAGAGCTCGTTTGTCTTCAACTGGCTCGGCTCTTGCGGGTAATAACAGAGTACAACACAATAGAATTGTGGAAATGGTAAATTCGATGCCCATTGAATCAAATTATGCTCTCAAGTCAATATATGTGAAGCTCTCAAATGGTATGCTCTGAAGTATGCTTCGTCTCTGACATTATCTGTAATTTTAAAAAGAAAAACCAAGAGCAAAAAATTGAAAACCAAAACTGAAATCACACACAATCAATTAATGGCCACATCAATATTTCAGTCGTTTTTTTTTTTTTGGAAAAAATTTCTGCACAACGTTCGGTCAACCACCCACAACAGTTCGAATGCAAAAAGGTATTAAATACCAAAAATCTCATTATACGCTTCCTTCATATTATTAAATACCAAAAATTTCATTATACGCTTCCTTCATATTATGTTTGTATGATTTGTTTTGTCTTCCCACCCTCAGTGCTACTGAAACAACTTGAGTGTTTTGCAACTCGGCCCATAAAAACTTACTTCATATTATTATCCACTTAATTTGTCAAAAAAATTAAGTGAATCTAAAAAATAGTTAAAAACAACTTACCTGCTTTGCTGAGATCAAAGAATTTTCAAACCCACCTCGCAAGAATTAAGGATATGCAGCTTAAACTGAGATGAGATCAAGGCCAAGAAATTCAAGAACAATAACCCCAAAACACAAAAGGGCTTGTTCGTGTGAAGCAAAAAGAGGGTTTAATCTATGCAATAGTTTGAGGGGATTAATTTGAGAG